CTGGGAGCTCTGCCTGTCTCCGGCCTATTGAGACAACTTCTGTGCTCACCCGCCCAAGGCAGAGGCGATTCTCATGCGCACGTTTCGAGGAACACATGCATCTCAAAATGAGCACGGACGGCGTCCGTCTTGGTTAGCTACAGTAGGTGGGTTAACTGATGAAATGTCAACCGAAATGCGTTTTCGTTTCGAGAAGATTAATTAAGTAGGGTTGTAAAACTAGTCAGCCTGTCACATAATTCTATAATATTTCGGTTACCTCGGGATGCCGGCTTTCGAGTGAACTTCTTTCTGGCTGCATGCAAAAACTACACTCTGTAAAAATGAATACTTAAGTAGCATGCAATTTTCTCATTGATTTTCATGTCCCTAAAAGTCTAATTATATTTCATGAAAAACATGCATAAAAGTATTCATTCTTTTGCTCATTCGATAGATAATTACGTCTTCTTCCAATCTTATACTCGAAGGAAGGGTACATTTCGGTTTTCAAAAAGTTTTCCAATTGTCGAATAATTTTGAACACACTACTGTTACACTTTGATTCGGGGTTTCCAAACTACAAGCCGTATATTTTCCGCGTATGAAAAACCACACATTTCTTTACGGTACTAAAAGGAGACCATAAAGAGTTCATAAAATTCAGCAGTGAATTTGATCCATATTGCTAACTTTATAAGTCGCATTAGTGAATGCAGAGACATGACGATTTATGAACAGCCATTTCACGGTATTAAAAAGTCCCACAATTAGAAACTTTTTTAAAACCGAATTATGTCCCTCCTTCGGGTATAAAATTAGAAGATCTAATTTGCTACCGAATGAGCAACAGAATGGATATTTTTATGCATCTTTTCCATAAAGTATAATTGAACGTTTAGGGGCATCGAAAATCAATGAGAAAAATGCATGCTACTTATGTAGTTACTTTTACTGAGTGTAGTTTTTTCATGCAGCCGGGAAGAAGTCCATTCGAAAGCTGGCATCCTGAGGTAACTGAAATACTATAGAATTATGCTGCGCGATGACTAGTTTTACAACCCTACTTAATTAATCTTTTCGAAACGAAAACGCATTTCGGAATTTTAGTTGGCATTTCATGAGTTAGCCTACCTACTGTATGTGACCGCGTAGGAACGCATCTTGTGCTCTCGCTACCTCACTCTGCCGTATACATAATAATTCCGAAATTTGGACAAAGAAAGTTCCTGTTACAGCGATGGCGTCTCTTCAACTGAATCTTATTCTCTGTTTAATTGCCTAATGATGATGCGTTCCTGGGTACTGCTCCAATATTTCGGGACGGGTGCGAACCTCCCATTGGACGATTATGGTCTTCGGTATCATAAAATGCAACGGTACCCAAAACTTAACTTAAATAACACCTCGGTTTCCTGGGAAATTTGATCCAATTCGGAAAATTACTTCTTACTGCAGAACTCACAAATGGATATCAAACGAGCCATTACTAACTTCTGTGAGGTGACGAAATAACAAATTTTCGGTCAACGCAGTTTGGCCTTAACCTCGTTTAATCGACAGTACAACGCGATCTGTTCGAACCACATATAGTGCAAACAAAACCGGTGAAATTAAAACAGGCATATGCAGCAGAATTAATTGGTAGCAACAGATTCCTCGGTAAAAACCCGATATTTTCAAACAGATAGACCACGTGGTCAACCTAAGGTTGCCCTGCTAATCGCCAGTCCATTGATTTACAAACCGTTTTTACGTGTTAGTTTTGTCCCTTTTTTCCTGACTCGGGTTTTTCGGTCACGATTTTCACAAATTAGTGTGTGTGCACTAAACAATGACATTGCGGTTTTGCGTTTATTTCTGCACAAATCCAAATTGTGAATGCTTCTTATCCGTATGCAACGACGGGTTGCAGCTGGCAAGCTGAAGCGAAATTTGGTGGTACCAGTGAGTTCTGCTGCACTTACTTGCTTTAAATTCATATCGGGGATAAGTGCTTCAAAAATCGACGAGTTTTTTGGCACTGAGTCTGCGTTTGGAGGCACAAAAAAACTGTGTGGGAGTCGAACACGTTACAGTGGAGCGACCGTCACACAGAAAAACGGAATGATTAAAGGGATAAGAGGAGAAAATCCAAGGACTCCTTATAAGGGCTCTCCAAGTAGGGTGGAGAATAGCTGTACTTTCGTTTAGAAATTGGCAGTTGTTCAACGGCCGGCGGTTCGCTGTGTCTGGCCATGTCGTTGTGGAAGAACCTGCAGATGTTTGAAGTCCATTTTATTTTTTGCTCTCAAACATTTCTTATAGTGCGGCCATTTAGTTCGCTTTTCTTCGGTATTTAGCATCGTTCGAAAAAACATTTTCCTGCTTATCTCGGCATATGCGTTTATGTTACAATAGATTTGGCCTTCTAGACCTGCTAGCCCATCAATAAGGTTGCCCTTTCAATGCATTTGAAGGGGATAGTCAGTGCTCGGTATGATTTACCTCTCGCGGAAAGAATACGGCTTGTAGTTTGGAAACCCCGAACGCATGTGTAACGTCAGTTCGGGTTTACACTTATTGGGAAAGTTCTTTTAAAACCAAAGAATATTCTGTCTTTAAGTGTAAAGTTTAAATATGATGTAATTTGCCACTAAATGACTGAAAGAAAATATATTTTGCACATATTTTCCATTAAATATATTTTGATTTATAAGGGTATCAAAAAACAATGGGAAAAACTCATGCTACTCAGGTAGTCATTTTTTACTGAATTCAGCTTGTTAAAGTGGTCGATAAGAAGTTCATATTGACCCAACTGTAAAAACTCGGCGCCTCGGTGGGATTCGCACCCACGCAGTAAGGAGAAGGCTTTAGTACAGCCAACGCTCTAACCAACTTGAATAATTCAAAATCTGCCAAAATATCTATGAATTACGTGAACCTGTTAGTCATCTGGTGGATTCTAGGTGAATTACTTAGGAAATCCCGCCTGGGCAGTCAACTTACTGTATCAGATTTGGTGGATTCCAGACGTTGCAGTAGGTTGGCGGGTAACTTGACCCAAGTGTGATAAAACTCGCGTCGTCCGGCGGGGCCTCGTAGCTGAGGTCTTTAGAGCGTTGGCTGTACTAAAGCCTTCTCCTTACTGCGTGGGTTCGAATCCCACCGAGGCGCCGAGTTTTTCACAGTTTGGTCAATATGCATTATTCAAAATCTGCCAAAATACCTATGGATAAGAAGTTCGTTCGAAATCCGGCATCCTGACACGACAGGAGTATCTGAGCCTTATTCAACATGTCGATTACTACGACAACCCATTTGAGTATTTTTTTCGAATGCAAAACGCAATTTATAATTTTGGTTATTTTATGGAATAGCATAGCAACTGTCGGTCCGCCGCCGGGGACACTTAATGCGACACTCATGTTAACCTCGTTGATAACATTCTGTGCTACTCGACTAGTATAAGGAACAAAGTGTCCATGTATGAAGACATTCATTTTTCGTGGGCTAAAGTCGCCGCATCATCAGGAATCTCCGCATATGCTCGGAAAACACAACATAAAGTGTATTTTAGCCATCCGTGACACTGTCCAGAAAGCTGTTATCCAGCCCTCCTCGGGTGTCCTTACCAGAAGAATTCCCTTTATTATTATTATTTTCTTGATTTTTTAGCCATCTTATCGTTCTGAGACTATAGTTTCACGCCTTCTGCGTGTTTGGGTTGCATGCAGCTCTGTCTGTGCATACGCATAGAGGCTCATAATCGAGACCAATTTATTGATTTTTGTGGAATTCCCCATGCCTCGAGCGGCCGGTTAAGTGATGCCAAGATCAAACTGCATAGGCCGGAACTGTGATCATCGTGTTACCTTGCACAGTGCATTTTATCTGATTCTCTAATTTCGGTAGGTTTGGGGACGGTTTTCTCCGCTTTAGCCACTTTAGACAGGTAGGCCCCTCATAGCTGTTTGGGTCTAGAAGGTCTGCCTATCTACGGAGCGTTGCCTTGGGTTTGCCTAAGAGAGTAACTACCTTTTGCAGTGTCAGTGCGTGGGTGACGGTCTTATGTCATCATTCCCGTCCTCGCTGGGTGCCGAGTTGACCTGCGCCTGAGTCACGTGTGGTAACCGATTCACACATTCTACGTTTCTATGCCTCTAAAGACCACACTGAGGCTTCTCAAATGTGTTTTGACGCCCATAGGGCCCGGAGGTGGGAATGCAGTTTACTGCACTGCTTTTTTCAAATCTGTCGTGCTCACAGGCGATATTCCCTCTTCTTTGCAGTTCAGAAGTTTAACAGTTTATGCAGATTTCGCGCCATTATTATTAATGGCTGTTTTTCCAGTCCGCTGGTTTAGTCGATTGAACTCCACCGGATGCCTGTATAAGCTAACATTATGATTAAATATGGAGCCAGGCTGGTCGATTTTACACGGCGCAGATCGAAAGTTAAGTCTATCAGACTGCGCCCATACCTGTTCAGTAGCTTAACGTGAGTAGCTTGAATTGACTAATAGAGCTGATCTGTCCTTGTTGGGTTGGCCGGTCTACGACCGCTCAATTGCTTAAGGAACTGACCCCCGAGTGACTTGCCTCAAAAACGTGCCTCGTTGGAACGGAGTCTGGAAAACCGCCATTCGTTTTTTGATATCGTAACTTGTGTGTTGCTTCTCTTCTACATCTACCTACGTTTCCAGTCAACGTGTCCTCTCGCACTAAGCAGCCATCTTTTCTGCTGATTCTCGAATTGATCGTTGCTTTTGTTACCAGGGCGTGGTGCTTACAGGTGGGCTAACTCATGAAATGTCAGCAGAAATTCCGAAATGCGTTTCCGTTTCGGAAAGATTAATTAAGTAGGTTTGTTAAAGCAATCATTGTGCAGCATACTTCTATAATAATTCAGTTACCCTAGGGCGCCGACTTTCGAACAAACTTCCGTCTACCTGCTTCCAAAAACCATACTCCGTAGAAAGTGACTGCTTAAGTAGCATGCATTTTTTCACTGAATTTCGATGCCCTTAAAGATTCAATTATATTTCATGGAAAACATGCATAAAAATATTTATTATTTTGCTCATTTAGTAGATAATTACGTCTTCTTTCAATTTTACATTCGAAGGAAGGGTATAAATTGGCTTTAAAAAGTTTCTAATTGTGAGGTTTTTTAGTACCGTGAAATGGTCCTTCATGAAACTTCATGTATTGCATTTGCCAATGTGGCTCAAATCCGCTGCTTAATTTTATGAACCCTATATGGTCCCTCTTTATTACCGTAGAGAAATATATGGTTTTCCGTACGTGGAAATTATACAGCTTTTAGTCTGGGAACCCTAAATACAATTGTAACGGCAGGTTGGGTTCAAAATTATTCGGGAATTGGAAAAGTTTTATAAAACCGAATTCTTCCCTTCCTTCGAGTGCAAGATTATAAGAAGAAGTAATTTTCTACCGAATGAGCAAAAGAATGGATATTTTTATGCATCTCTTGCATGAAATATAATTGAATCTTTAAGAGCATCGAAAATCAATGAAAAAATGCATGCCACTTAAGTAGTCATTTGTACGGAGTATGGTTTATGGATGCAGGCAAAAATTAGTTTGTTCGAAAGCCGGCGTCCTGGGGTAACTGAATTACTGTAGAAGTATGCTGTACGATGATTGTTTTTACAACCCTACGTAATTAATCTTTTCGAAACGGAGACGCATTTCGGAATTTCTGTTGAGATTTCATGATTTAGCCCATTTACTGTAGGTCTAATTGTTTTCAGCTCACATTAAGGAACTGGAAATTGTGGGTAAAGATTATGTGCAACGTTTTATGGACCGTCGACAGCATACTGTCTGCTTCAAACTCCTATACTTAGTCAGGCCGATCAATTCCGCTGATTGGTTCGGTAGTAAACGACACAATTTGTTCCAGCAGGAGCATGAAACGCTAGGTACTCACTAGTAGACCGAACATCTCGCAACTGACTCGACTGCAACGGAAAAAATCGACTTAACACGTGTCTGGACTTTTAGCCAGGCTCCATGCTGTCGGCATGGCGAATCGTACATTACATGTTCCACCGATTCAGGCATTTTTTTATACACCATGCCCAAAACACGACATATTCGAGGTCATGAGGTCTTTTAGAATTCCTATCTGATTAGTGACCACACAATCCTTGTAATCCATTTTCCGCCTACAGAGAAATAACTCCCAGTTCAGTGAAGAACATGAGATAGTGGTAGTGGATTCGGACAACAGAAACGGCGGGCAGGTCGAGGACTCCCCGGTCCTCTCTGCCGGCGACTGTGATTTCTCCATCGTCGTCTCCCACGAGGATGCCCATGAGAGGCGGCAACCCAAGCGCTGTGATTCCCCACAAAACTTCAAGGTCTCCCGCACCCGCGAATACCACACAGCGTCGCGGGTCTCGGCGCGTCGCACACAACCATCCCCACGGCCCTCGAGTCCGCACTCTTCCACACCGGACACACCCGTCTCCGAGTCCGGGAGTTCTTCCTCACCGTCCCGCCACTGCCATTGCAGGCACGGTGACCGCAGCCTGCACGGTCGCACTAAGCGCTCCGTCAGTGGCAGTCGTTCTACGCTTGGTCCCTGTGGTCCGAACTGTAGCAGCGGTCTCACCAGGGGCGTGGAGTCCTGCAATCACGGTGCGGCAAGTATGTACGAGTCCCTGCCCCGAACGAGGCGCCGGACCCCCTGCCCGTCAGACCAGCGCAGTTGCTGTCGCCCCTCAGACTACTCGCAGGCGGAATGTGAGTGCTGTTCAGAGCACGCTGCAACTCTGCCCGGCTCGTATGCCAACTTGCCACCCCAAATAAGCGGCCGAACTCCACATCTGCGACATGGCGGGTCACTGAAGATCTTCCGAAATGTTCGTATGTCACACGATCTGGCCCGAGAGCGGGAGGTCATTGACGAGCTGTCGCCGGACGTCTACTGGAATGACAGTCCAGGGAAGCACGGGTAGGCTTCCTTATTGCCCCTTAGCTTATTCGTTTCGCTCTTCCTAGAACCTAGAGAACAGAAGCAAGTTACCACTTGTCATTTGTGTATTTATTCCCTGAAATACTTCTGGATCATTATGCAAACGAGGCACGGATCCGTCACGATGAACCGGTGAGAAGACGTTAGATTTCGGAATAGCGCCATGAAAAGAGGACATTGGGACTTCCATAACCGGTCGGATGCGCTATATGCGCAGGTTTTTGAAAGCCATGCCGCGTTGTGCTGCAGCAGTATTTGAGGTCTTGTTGGAGCCTTGCTCTAAAACGGCTGAGTTCGAGCTCTGCCTCGTAAGGTTTTCTCTAATGACACCCATTAGTTGGTGCCAACGCAAAATCACTATTGGTAACAACTTGGCCATGCACTATACGAGGAGATTCTGACGGGCAGACTAATTCCACCGTGTGGTGAGATGTGGTCAAAAGTTGTCTGCAGTTGCGTGCTAGTTGGTAAGTCAGGAATGGGCGCGCACTGATCTATTGGCTTCACGAAACAAACAAGCTCCGTATGGGTGGCAAAGGTCACGAACAGGCAACCAATTACCAGGCCGAAGTCGGCTAAGCTATCATAGCAGAGCGGATACGACAGAGTCTGGGGAGTAGATTGATACAGCACTGTTTCGGGCTTGTTTGCCTTCATTCAGCCAACCATAACCCTGACCACCAGCTGGGACCGGAAACACAAACATGCGCATAGACGCACCTGGCGCAGTTGGTCCACCACGGGGGTCTACCAGATGGGTCATAAGCGCTTCATCGAACCGAAGTTCATCAGTGCCTCGCCACCTGTCATTCTCTGTCGCTGTAGATCGGGTATTTATTCAATCAGAAATGGCGCACACCGATCTATTGGCTTCACAAAGCAAACAAGCTCCGTATGGGTGGCAAAGGTCACGAACAGGCTTGTTTGCTTCGTGAAGCCAATGGATCGGTGTGCGCCCATTCCTGATTGAATAAATACCCGATCTACAGCGACAGAGAATGACAGGTGGCGAGGCACTGATGAACATCGGTTTGATGAAGTGCTTATGACCCATCTGGTAGACCCCAGTGGTGGATCAACTGCGCCAGGTGCGTCTGTGCGCATGTTTGTGTTTCTGGTCCCAGCTGCTGGTGGTCAGGGTTATGGTTGGCTGGATGAAGGCGCAATAGGCGCGAAACAATACTGTATCAATCTACCCGCATTCTCTATCGTCCCTTCGCGCAGTTAGTAAGTCGTTAACGACACTGGTAACCGCTGTTCTGGGAAAACAGGGCCACCTATGCGTGAGCTGTATTACAGTGAGGGGAACATATGTAGCACTGACTTCCGCGTCCATCGTGGGCTAATGGTAAGAAAAGGTCAAGATATGTGTGTCTGGATACGTGCGAGGTGGCAGTGTCTGACCGGCCACCCCATTTCGTCCATTTGTGCCACATGTGTGTTGATTCCTCACAGCGTGTGAACCATACATTCTCGTCATTTGGCCACATTATGGGGAGGATCCACTGAACTTAGACCCACAGTTCAAAAATTGGATTTACCCCATCAGTTAACGTGTAGATTTTCCAAATCAGTCCCTCATGCTGCTTAGTTTTTTTACTGTATATTTTACAGTGCAAGGCGTTCCTCCTCACGCCGCAGGCTGCAGCTGACTGCTCTAGATTCCGGAGAGGAACAGGTCTATGCGCCCTATTCGAGACGTCCTCGAGACATGAGGGAAAATCGTCTCGGCTACTCTACTGGCACTGGACTGGATCAGCTAGCAATCGAGGAACTGGCTCGCAGTGTAACTAACCTTAAGTCTGACATTGAACGGCTTACGCTTCAGCAGCAATCCCTTATGGACTCAACGGCAGCACGAAACACCGATTCCCCAACCGTGGACGATG